GTATGTATGTACATACATGCATGCATATACAAGCACTCGTAAATACACATATGCATAAGCACTAGCATTTCGAACGCAAGCAACCGCATATACACATTCACATGCATGAACATGTACATGTACTTTTACACTTTATCATCTCGAACGCCAATACTTACTCTCAGTCCCGTATGCATCTATAGACAGAGAGAGATCAGATACAGAGGCAGACGTCCTTGCGCATGTGCGAGTTGTGAGGACTGTGGTCTTCCGCGGCTTCCTCCGGTCTGACCACCTGGCATCTGCAGCCGCGATGTCCGCTCCGGCGGATGGGAGCGACTCCGAGGAGGGAACATACAGAGATATAAGTTTATGCACTTGTTTGTTACCCCCCTTCCCGAGACCCGTGTCAAAGCTAATCAGATACTGTGCCGCGAACGAACCACGTGATGCCAGATGCAAACAATGACAAGCTCATGTCTGGCATGGTGAATATCGGATGGGAAGCCGCGGGAGAGCCTTCGAGATGTTTCTCCCAGGAGAGCCTCGCAGGTGGGCCGTCGCCGGAGGCTGAAGTCGTGCAGGGTCAGTCTCTGGACTTGCTCAGATCTAGATTCCCAATGTCTTGGATGTGGCATATGAGTCACGAACCGGTCGAGATCAATGCGAGAGGTCGCTAGCACTCCTTGCGGCGCTTGTGCAACCACGTACAGCCGTTGCCAGGGCTCCCGTGACAGTTGCATCATCATCCTGGTCACAGACTCGCGATCTCAGAAAGTCCACCATGCACGGGCGAGTTTTCCAAAGGCGCCTGTGGAAATATGCGGCTTAGATGTTGAAGCAGCATTTTTGGCTTTTAGCCTGCCGCATGCCAGCATGTCAGGTCAGTTTGCATCACAAACGCCTGCCGGGTTGACGTTGATGTTTTCGCCGTGGTGATGGTTTTTCTTCATGATGTACGTTCAGAACCAAGCGAGGTTGGTGGCTGGACGAGGCGGCTGTGCAGTTCCGAATAGCGGGACGGGCGCTGGTGGTAGACCACAGCACTGCCGATTCCCAGCTTCGTGCTGTTCGTGCAGCTGTGTGGAACCGATTGATCCTCGGCGTCGCCGTCCCATTGATAGAACTAGCTCGTAACTAAGCCAACCGAGCCAACAGTCCGGCTCACCCTGCCACCGGCAAGCCAGCAGATCCTTGGATGCCTGCATAGCTTGGAATGCTGCCCCTCTCAAGTTGTTCTGCTCGCGGCTTTCCCTGTGCTGGGCTTCATTGCGAGCAGTTGCTTCTGCCCTGAAGCAGAACATGAACCAGTAAATAAGACGAGTGGCCAAGCCTTGACATGCCAGACATTCCATTAACATGAAACGCCCAAAGGAACCCAAAGGTAACCTAACCCACAGTTGCATGTTTAGCCAAGGAGAGCTTCGACGCGTGAAACCTTCATTTGGCCAGAGCCAGGAAAACCTCGCGACGATGCTGTCGTCCCCAATCCAGGCGTTCTTGGGATGAGATGAGAAAGTGCTAATTGCCGAGCAGATTTGTTAGGTTGGGTTTGTGATGCACCAGCAGCCCGACAGAAGAATCGCCCCCTTTCATGGCATGATGGTGGTTGAGACAGACTGCGCTGGTCGCTTAAGAAGCAGGAGAGAGGAAGTTGCCTGCGCAGTTGAGGTCGCTAAGCCCCTAAGCCGTGGTTTCGCGTTTATGTCATGATGTCAGTACTGAGCCGTTTTCAGGCTATCTATCTGTCTACAGACATTCAGGGGCTTCACTGTGACACTGTATGACATCTCACTCTATACATCAATCTTTCTAACTCCAAAACGGGTAGCTCTGTAGAGTCCAACGCGCTGCGATGGGCGTTGTGCAACGTGCCTTCACTTCTAAGTTCAACGGACTGGCTTGCCTTTTCAGGAGACCATCCCACATGACAAAACGGAGCTGAGCCTGATAACTCCTGCCATGGCCTTTCGCCCATTTGTCCTCGCATCCCAGAATTTGTTCAAGATTGGAGGTGAGCTGCGGATGGAGGATGCTCACTTTGCCGCCTCTCCCCTGTAAACTGGTTTTTGGATGGAGCGTGCACATGTTCGACTTGTTGACAACCGGTGAGAAGTGTGACTTGCACACGACAGGTGCTACTGTAGCGCTATGTTTCGGTGATATGCTTCCGTGATGCGACAGCCGGGATTTGGATTCTGCAAGACATGGCATATGCCAAAGCCTACCCACTCATGGGCCCTTGCAATGTCATCAAGTTCAAACGACTAGATAAGAAGCAACAAGAAGAGTTTCAATTACCGCAGATGTGTTTCATGATCCTGCTGATGATTGCGACAATGCTGGGAAATTGATGAGGATAGCGACAACGACACGATCAACATGCAGTGTATAGGAGTTAAGAGAGGTTGGAGAATCGGAACAAGGCTTGAACTTCGACGGCGCAGCAAAGATGATGCCAAGTATAGTGTTATTAATAGCGGTTTTGCAAGACTGAAAAGAGGACAATGAAAACAACGTAGAAAGCGTCAAAATCACAGCAGGTCAGGAGATTGAAACAGAAAAGTTAACAGTGCGGAGGGTAGCGGCGCACGTCGGACACTGACGCCTTTTTTTTCGGACAGCGATGTGAAGGACTTCAGTGGACTCAGTAAAAGGTCTTTCTGGTGCTTCCCAGCACCGTCGACGAGCTGCAGTTGGGTGGCAGGCAGCGTCGCCGGATCCACAAAACAGCGGCCGAGCTGAGATCTAGATTTTGAGTCGACCTGTGAAAGCTTCGGAGTTCTTCATAGGATGATGTTTGTTCATTCGGGCTGAGCGCCAGGCTGAGGTTGCAAATGCTTCCGATTCAAGACGTAAGCTGGCTGCGCACGATCCACAAGTTCCAGCTGCATCACACATAGGACCTGGCAAGCAGAAGCAAGAAAGACCGTGACCGGTGACCACAGGCTATGGCTATGGTGCCGACTCACCGCGGCATGGAAGCTAACAGCATCTTACAATCTCCACCCTGACCTTCGGTCGGCTTCTAGGATTCCCACCAAGCTCGTACAGTAGCTCGCATGTCTCGTGGCCGGCTGCTGCAAAGAAAACTGACCGACACAACGAACAAGGGAACAAAGAACACAGGTGCTGGGCACTAGCTGACACCATCGACAGTACATGAAACCTCTCCAATTAGAGATCCCTCGTAGCTCTACTTCGTGGGCTTGAGTTTGGTGCTTTGCCATGTGGGTGCATGAAGCCGGGAACCCCTGGTTCTGAGCATTCGCTGTGTGGGACTGCCGATATGTGCTGGAATGTGTTGAGGCACCGCTGCCAGAGGACCGGTGGTGGGGGAGAGTCTGGTTTCCACGACGTTTCGCACACAACCTGTGCTATGTCCTGCCTTGAGAACATCTGAGAACACATGTTCGGATAAGGCAGGGAAATCTTAGCATATCTTAGCATCTTGAGGCAGCACAATGATTATTGCCTGAACTCTCAGGATCAATGGCAGCTCCCGTTCTCAGATCTGTTCGAGCAAGTTCTGAGTCAGAACTGGGAGGTAGCGGATGTGAATCCATGATGTCGGTCCCGGCCGAAACTCTGCAGGCGCAACGCCCGAGAGCCCGAATTCATCACAAGCTTGGGTGTCTTCAAGCCTCTCAGGCAACGAGACATAGAGCACGGCCAAAGTCTTAGCCTGTGCCGAAAGATGACTCGCGAATCGAAAAGCCGACAGTCGTGGATCCCCGAGAACCAAAAATCTAGACTGCTGCAAAAGATGAGACAGTGGTTTGAGGATGCTGCCTGAAGGCATGCTGCAGCCTTTTCACAGTCTACAAAGCATGGCAATGCAATCCCGAAATAGTCGGCTTCCGGTTCGGCGCAGTCAAACAGGGCTGCCACGTGTCCGCATGGCTGCAAGCAGAGACCAAGCATCAGCAACTCTAAGCTTGGCCTTGGTAGAAGTAGTTCTTGAACATGCAGGCTCTGGACCAGGACCTCCGGCACGTGCCTCAGAGCATGCCAAGTCGCCAGAGGCTGGTAAACGAAGAATGAGACCTGTGACCCCTCGTTCTGAATCTGGTTATGACGAGCTCATAGAGACAGATGGAGCCGAGAAAACCGTGTGCGGGCTCTGGAAATTCAGGCAGATGGACTCCACACTATCGTCAAATAGACCACCACAAACAACATGAGTGCTGGTAGTCGCATCAATGTCAACAGCATTCCGTCCTTTCTGTTGTTCTGCTTCGCAGAGGCACAGCCGGCCGACAATCCACTGTTCCGTGCTGCACGCGAGGAACGCTGGCCAAGTCCAAGTGCTCGATAGAATAAGATGCCATGTGGCATCACACAACATCGTGGTACAATACTGTCTGTCTATGCATGCATAAACTTGTGCATAGGTCAGTACATGAAGCGTGGTGGCGATCCCTGTGTTTACCTCGGAAGGCTTTCAAGTTTGGGTCAACTCTCGCGTGTTTAGTGAACGCTTTGAAAAACAGACTGTGTCTACGGTGTTCGGAGACGTAAATATCATGCTATACTCGCACCGTCGATTCACGACGTTTCTTTCTTAGAATGTTTGAGTAATCCAGCCTGACAGCGATGCAGACTTACATCCACGGAACCTTCACAGTCTGTCATGGGGTCATCATCCAATCCAATCAAATGTAGGTGTGATTTATGTTACGTTACAACCCGGTGCTAGTGCATTCTCAGAGGTGGACTTAGCGCAGTATGATTCGGCAACGGTTGGTTCATTACCAGCACTAGCCGCTAGCACATCCGCATGATGTAACAGTCAGGGAAATTACCCGGGGGGCAACATGCGCGCTCTCATAAGACTGCAACGCGACCTAAATTTGGAAGAAACTCCGTGCGCTTGTTCGTCTTCACAAATGTTCAAATGTAGGACACCTGCTCATGCCTTGACGCTTGACCAAGTGCTCCACAAGTCCTTTGCCGATGCTGTTTGTTTCACAAACAACTCCCTTGCTTGAGTGTTGAGATATTGCAAAAGCATGCAAAAGCCATACCACACGGCAGTTTTGCAGATGGTTCGGTTAAGACGTTGCGCCTTCGGGCAGGTTCGTTCAGCAAAAGTTTTTTGTATATGATATACTCGTTTAGGGGCTCGGAATATGGAGAATCTTGTTCTGTGAAGAATTTTGAACAAGTCCGTGAAGCAGAACGTGCTGAGCATGGTTTGCACGGGGTTGTAGGACTGATGGGATTTGGGCCAAGGTCCAAAGATCCGTGTTCTACCGCGTTTCGATGCGTTTATAGGGTGAATGTCTAAACATGTATGTCTCCGTTTTTAAATGCGCAGACATTGTAGGTCTTTTGTGCCCGCTGAAGGCTTGTTAAGCTGAGTTGTGTGCATATTTCTCCTTGTCCCGATACATCCGCATCTTTCTTTCCATCCATCTCTTGTGTGCCGTTTTTGATAGCAAATATATACACATACACACACACAACTAGTTTTGTTTTTGTATGTATGTATGTATGTATGTATGTATGTATGTGACACGACGTGTCACATACATATATATATATATATGCTCACCCCCCCCCGTTGACAGACCGCGGCGCGCATACCGTGTGTTCCTGGCAAGCGACCCTGCTGATTAAAACCTGTTCGCCGCCGTTAGCTTTTAACATTGGTTTGAGTACTTTCCTTTGGTATTGAGACTGG